TAGAAAACTCTGTATTTCCTGATCAATGGAAAGAATCGCATATCACGCCGATATTAAAGAATGGTCCACCATCGTCCATTAATAACTACCGTCCCATATCTTTATTTAGCTGCATTGGTAACATTTTCGAAAGATGCCTCTACAAATATATATACAACTTCATTCTTGATTTTAAGATACTAACACCACTCCAATCTGGTTTCATTAAGAACAATTCCACAGTTTATCAACTTTTAGATCTATATGACCAAATATGTAAAGCTCTTGACGAGGGCAAAGAAGTCCGATCAGTATATTTCGACATAAGCAAAGCCTTTGATAAAGTCTGGCATCGAGGTCTTCTTTCGGAATTTCATGCTATTGGTATTCGTGGGAATATCCACGCGCTTCTAGAAAGTTATTTATCAAATAGACAACAGCGCGTAGTAATCGACGGAGTTTCTTCAAACTCGTCAATTGTTCATACCGGAGTACCGCAAGGATCGGTACTCGGTCCTATAGGCGTAGGAGCTCAAAGTAATTCAGGGGGGGGGGGGGCATAAGAGAAAATTGCCGGAAATTATTACCGTTTTTTCGGGCATACATATCATAAGAGAGCTTCGGGCATATTTTCGGGCATGCAGTGGACAAGAAAAAGACGAGGAAATGCTTTTCGGGCAGTGTGGATCTCATAGAAATAAGTTAGTTATATTTTTTCTCTAAACGTTAATAGAAAAAAAGGTCGAATTTTTCATTGCCCGAAAATAAATTTTTCTGAACCCCCGGCTCCTACGCCTATGCTCGGTCCTTTACTATTCGTTGCCTACATAAACGATCTTGTTAATGATATAGAATCAAATATACGACTTTTCGCAGACGACACTTTCCTCTATCTTGTCATTGAAGACCCCGTCTCATCTAAACGAATTCCAAATACTGACCTTTCAACAATTAGCAAATGGGCTTCTACCTGGAAAGTAGCATTTAACCCCACTAAAACCACTAGTATTACTTTCTCCCGAAAAAAAACCCTCCATCCTTTCAATTGACATTCAACAACACTGCCCTGTCTGAAGTTTCTTCTCACAAACATTTAGGAGTCTATTTTGAAAAATCATGCACCTGGACAGATCACTTAAACTACTTCATATCCAAAATTAACAAAACTGTTGACCATTTTCGTTTTAAGTACAGACTATCTAGAAAGTCACTCGAAATAATATACAAGTCGTTCATCCTTCCCGTATTTGACTATGCAGACGTTCTATGGGACAATTGTACAGGCCATGAGACTTATGAGTTTGAGAAACTCCAACTTGATGCCCTACGAACAGTAACTGGACTTGTTAGAGGAACGTCACATAACATTATATACAAAGAATCCGGTTTTATTTCGTTAAAAGAACGACGCTCCAGACATAAACTAATTGTTTTTTACAAGATGATCAATAAGCAAACCCCCGACTACCTTTCACTGCTCGTACCACCCCTACATTAAATTCTCACTTTACACGTAACCGATCTCATTACCGAAACATATTCGCATCAACATCGATATATAAACAGTCCTTTCTCCCTTCTACTACTTCATCCTGGAATAATCTAACAGACGACATAAAGAAAAGTTCATCCTTGAAACACTTCAAAGATCATTTACGCAAAAACAACCAAGCGATCCCAAAACATTACTATCTAGGAGACAGAAGATTGCAAATCATTCACACTCGACTAATATGCCAAAAAAGTACTCTAAACTATCACAAATTTTTAATGCACATTTCAAAAAATCTATCCTTTAGTTGCGGTCACACTATTGAGGACAGCGAACATTTTTTTTATTATACTGCTCTAATTTTACTAGAACAAGACAAGAAACTATACTATTACTACCAAGTACTTGCCGGGAGATTAGAACGCTATTATACGGAAACGACCTTCTCGCTTCTTCGACAAACATGGAAATATTCACTACAGTTCAGTTATTCATAAACCAATCCAATAGATTTAAGTAAACAATAACCATGTTCCACATGTTCCACCCTTCCTCTGTTTGATCATTCTTACTGGGTATATATTTGATTCTACTCGCCTTCTAGATATATGATACATATCGTTCATGCTGGGTATACTTACCACCTTTTTGCCTTCCACTCACTGTTCGGTGATACTTTTAATACCCACCGCATACTTACTTGTTACTATCTTATTACTTACCACCTACGGTTCGTTAATTTTTTTTTTTTTTTTTTTTTGCATATATTATACTTCTTACCGTCCTTTTACTTACCACCTACTGTTTGTTGATACTTACCGTATAAACTTGCAGGTTGGTTTACTTACCGATTCTTGTTTGTCTAAACATATTGTGTACTCGCCGTTTCTTGATTACCTATTCTTATCAATAATCTTATCTAAATTGATCATACTAAACGACGATTCATATCGTTTTCGTGGGCATATATACTTCTTACCGTCCTTTTACTTGCCACCTACTATTTGGTGATACTCGCCGTATACACTTGCGGGTTGGTTTACTTACCGATCATACTAAACGTACGACATTTATTGTCTCTCGATAGGTTGGAAATACTTGTCCATGTTCAAATCGTGTACTTAATATTAAATATTAACGATTAATATATGGCATTTTTTTACAACCATGAAACACCATCGCACGCCAGACGCCTCCCATCCCAATAATATTTTCTTTCTCCTATTACCACAACCAGAGTTTCGCTTACCCTTTACGTGCTATGAACATCGGATAATCATTTCGCTAACCACACCACATTTCTACTACATTACGTACTTTAACTGATTATATTGTATCCAATATAACGTTTTAAATTAATCAAATGAGAGTAAACCCATTTACCTTTATGATTATAATCTTATACAATGTATTTATATTTTATTGTAAATAATGTCCTCGGGAGATGTATATATATAAGCCCCGGCTTGTTTTCAGATCCCACAATCATATAGTGTACTTTTATAGTATGTAAATATTTATTGAATAAATAGTGTCAGAAAAAAAAACTGTAATAGAATCTGGTGGCCAGTTCAGAACGAACAAAATGTGTTGGAAATTCACACGAGATCCTTCTGAATTAATGATAATATTCTACACAATCTTTACCCTTTTTATCACAATGTCCTAAAAGTTAAACATGCATTATGCAAGAGCTAAATCTGATTATTGCTAGTGTTAATTTAGGCTTCAGATGTTATAGAAATTATAAATTAGATCTTTATTTAAACAACAAGACCAAAATCAACTCTGTAGACCCACGGATGGCTCGGCTACAGCTCGGATTTAAATAGGATTTCACTAATTGATTAAATCAAATAGGGGGTAACCTGATCAAAATACGTCAGTTAGATCGAGGCTAAATGATAGAGTGTATTTAGCGAGGCCGCTGTAAAGCGTTTCGGTATGCCATTGAAAACTTTACTTGATAATCGAGACATGTAGGTGGAGTTAAAGCCTGTCAATCAAACGATCAGCGAAGGTGAAGCCACAATTCGCTACCATTTCTAGGCAAATATTACAACGATGATAACTATGTTCAGAATAAAGTAATTTGACTGAATTTTTCAATATATTCTTCTTTCATCATCTACTTTTGAACTGATATAGCAAGAATGGCCAACTCTCTATAAAAATCTCTCATAATGTATCTTTAAATATTGATTTCGGTAATTTAATTTGGTCAACTGTTGTCTTCATGTCAACCTTGGAGAAAGAATTACCCTGATAAAGCGCCCCAGGGTGTTCTCTGGTTTGTTACTTCTGTGTTGATTTAAGACCTTTTTTTAATAGTCCAATGATCTTATAAACCATTATAAGGTTGCCGCAACCGGCCAGCGTGTCGCATTAAAGCACAACGTTCTTGTTAAATATACATTCCCGGGAAAGTATTTAATGGGTAGTTATATCCAATAAACGTATGGCAATGTTGGTATATATGGAAAGTAAACATAGAGACACCCAATCTTACTAGAAAAATACTGGGGTCCCTGAAAAACTACAATGTGGAGGTAGCGGGTGGCGCGCACAAGACATAAATGTGAGGTTATTACTAAAAGGCAGCCTTTCTCCTCAGTTGACGTAAGGGCGCTTCTAATATTTTGATCTTAATGGCTAAAGGGTTATGATAACATTGAGAGAATTAAATGACCAGTAGACTCTGCGATGAAAGGCGGAAAAAGAAGTTGGCTGAGGATAATCCAGGTTTTACTTAGGTTTTGATATTTATGGTAAATGGACAAAGACTATCGACAAATACAAGCTCATAATGAATGGTTTTCCCCTTTAATCAAGTCATGTGACAAACACGAATGATAAAATACATTCTCACAGCTTAAGTTTTTGCTTTCGTCGATTTTATCAAATATGTTGAGAGGGATTTAAAGCAAACTTTTGTTAGATAAATTGGTCCGAATAGGTTATTAGTCCAAATGATATATCATCCAATCTAGCGGTTTATATACGAGGAAGGGTATCTGTAAACAAAAGCTTCTTTATTGTTGTTTCACACTAATTTACTGTTAAACGTTGAATTTCATACTAATATCAAAAGACATGACTTTTCCGTGGATACATATTAAATTGTTTTTTAAAGAACAAATTAATAATTTTTAACAGGAATTTTCATGTTTTTTACACAAAAATTTCAAAGTATCGGAATCGTGCTGTCTACATACTAATAATTTTGGAATAGCGGAAGATTTTTGATATAAGACGAACTATGTTAACGAGTAAGAGAATTTGGGCAGAAGAATTTGTCCTCTTATTACCTCTAAACTACTGCTAAAGAATTTGGCTCCTAACATGAACCAAAGAATTTAGATATAAATTATGCTAACCCGTTTACGTTAATATACGTCTAGTAGTAATAAAAACGCATTAGTTTTAAAGATAATTAGGACATTATAACTCGTTGTCCGGATGTTTCTTTAACACCGAATGCCCCAAGGATAAATCCCTTTAAAGTTAGATCATAACAAGATGGCTGACTGACGATAAAGCTTTATCAAAACGAAGCGTTGATTTTATGAATGTCATGCTTCATTGGACTAGCTCGAAGATGTAACACCATTATGGTTTGTTTGATTAAAATTGAAATAACAAACCATAAAATTATTATCTATGTATATATGACTGGAGGACTAAAGATTTTGATGCGATAATACTTTACGTGGTAAAACGTCAGCAGGCTGTGATTGTAGGAGACAGTTAACCAATGTGAATAATATTCTCATTCAGTGATTAATAACCGTGGACGTTGGTTGATCCAGAATAAATATGTCACATAACAATCGGAGTTCTAACACATAGAAAAGGTTAGTTGTTACTTTATTTCATTTTATCGAAGTTTAAATCGATGACAAAAAGTATTAGTCGGTTTATTGCTGCAAGAAAAAAATAGACTAAATAACGGTACAACAGGGTGGTCAATTTTTAATATTGTTTAAGTAGATTATTGCTGTGCTGTCCTGGTTATAAGTTCAATTTTAAATTGTTTTAGACTGATTCTCAAAATATTGCTATTACAGAACGAAAGAGTTTTGAACGAAATGCCTTGTCTAGACTTACGTGTGAATGCATACAGTTTTATATAATCAAACTGTATCTATAAGTTTATTCAAGTCAGATAAAATGTTCACCATTAATCAGCCTTCAATCATACTAGTTGTTGAATATTATTGTGGATATTGATTTAGAAATTCTGAAAGTTTAAGTTTCGATTTTTGCCTAGAACAATGCCAATTGTTGTTTATCTCGTATTGTAAACAAATATTAGTTAATTAACTAGTTTAAGAATTAGAGTTTTGAAACGATGTATATTTGGAAAAAGTGGAGTTCGTAACATTTATAAGTTTGTAGAAGTAATAAAACAGTTTTTATTTCTACACAAAGGCAAAACGTGGCTGGTGTTTATAAATCAATAATACGCTCGTGATGTTGCTACTTTAAACTTGTTTTTTTTTTGTTTTTTTTTTTAAGATTTGTGTTACCATATCTTCAGGGCACGGCCCAAGATGAAGTGTATTTTGTTTTTCGTTTGTTTTTGTTGATTTTTATGTTGTTGTTACTATTTTAGTGGGCAAAATTTCCCCCATACCCATTGCTTGGTGTATGTCGGCCATTAGCCTGGGTTGGTTTAACGAAGCAGGGGGTTAAACACCATTTCATTCTATTTACAATTTTTTTTTTTTTTGGGGTGGGGGGGGGGGCGGTTGTTTGTTGGGTTGTTTTATTTTTAAATGTGACGTTTTTGACATTTAGAGCTTAAGAGAACAAAAGTGTCGTAATCCGTCTGCAAAGAATATATATATGTGTTAGAAAATGAAATTGTGAAATTCTTTCAACTAAACTAAACTATTTAATTATGACATTAAACGCACTCATATTACCTGTATAATAATATATAGTTTGTTACAACTACCCAATACGCATCATCAAAGTCTGTGTAGACCCAGAAAGCATACTTTGTCCTTGATACTAACAAGACAAAAGATGACTAGTTTGTACATAATCAGAACGCGCTATATCATAAGATCTGTCATTGAATCAACCGGCGTGGTTTCGATTTCCCGGTTGTACGCGACAAGGAGTAGGGTTGCCTGTCCAACCTCGTGGATTTTCTGTGGGTCCTCCGGTTTCCTACCACTGCTAAAGACCCCTACGAGCAAGCGAATTATTGAAATAAATAAATTCAACCATGTGTTAGTCCCGAAATGACCTAGTTTGTGTCGTGTATACAGCCCGACAGTTGTATGTAAACCATTGATGTTTATATGTACACACATGTATTTCAAATTATTTTAATATAATTAATGATGAGAGAGAATTTAAATTACTGCGAGGTCTTTATCACGCTTATCTCCAACTTTGTGCTTGGTGAACCGTCAAGTGGACGTTTACTCTCTCTCTCTCTCTCTCTCTCTCTCCATTTTTAAACATCCTGATTAATCCATAAGAATCGCTCCTCACAAACAAATCCAACGCCATTAAATTTCCACGCCCACTTAATTTGTATACATCAATATTAAATTGCTTACAATAAAATATAATAAAATTGTGATGAGAATATTTATATTGTTTAATAGTGTATACAGCTCGACAGTTGTATGTAAAATATTGATGTTTATATGTACACACATGTTGTATTTCAAATTATTTTAATATAATTAATGGTGAGAGAGAATTTGAATTACTGTGAGGTCTTTATCACGCTTATCTCCAATTTTGTGATTGGTGAACCGTCAAAATTGGCTTACAATTAAAGGAGCTAAATCGCTAACATTTTGGACCTAGAAATTGACAAAAGTGGGTCGCAACGCATATAATACTGTAATATGAATGTATATAAACTGATTTACATTCAATGGTTTCCGTTTTTACTCCAATTTCAAATCAGTTATGTTCGGCGAAATAAGCCAGCAGTCTCAAGCGAGTGCAAATTTCTAGCGTCTTGTTATTCGAGTCTACATACGCCGTTTGATTTGGTGCAATGTGTCTAGCCTCGTCCCTCGAGTCTCTTGATACAACTAGGGCTGAGGCGCATTATGGTACACGATTCGTGTACCAATGGTAAAATGTTTTTTTTTGTCTCAAATATTGGATATCAAAAGCCCATCTTTTTCTGGTAAGATCAAAACATGAACGTTGATTTAATTTGACAAATAAATCGTGTTTTCAATGTTGAAGATTTTGGATGATATTGAGTTAGAGACTTAGTACTTTAAACAATTGCACCTTTATAACAACTGCAAAGATATAGAGTCTGTTTTATTTGAGAGATATGAATTGAATCAAGTTTACTTTTCTTATGCATATAATAATATATCTATTATTAATGAAAGTTTAAGGGTGTATGTAAAGGGCGTATAGCTCTAACTCAATAGTATGTATAGAAATTAAATACACGAATTAGAATTCAATATACATGTAGGTATATTTCGATCAATACTGATCTTGTTATATACAATTAAAAAAATGTAAAAATTGAATGTGGATCAGTTTTTATACATTTTATACATTTAATCATTCACATCAGACGCCAAAGTAAAAAGAAATAGCTTAGAAACTGCTCAAATGTGTTACCTAACTTAGATACAGAAATTTGATCTATCTGTTTGCTTTTAACAACTGCTCATTGTACGTCTATTTTCTTCAAATTTTTCCCATCTATCAATATTATTTCAGGGTTTAATGATAAAGTAAGAGCCTCAAATCTCTGCCCCAAAGCGTTATCTGCTTAACAATAGGATGGTAAAGTTTTGTAGAGGGTAGAGATTATGTATCATTCGAGCTTTCTTAAAAAAAAAATGCTATTTTAAAGCTGGAATTTAAGCCAAAGTATTTTGGAATTCAAATTATCTAAAATGGAATTTATATAATACGCCTTTTAAACGTCTGTTAGGATTAAGGAACATCATTAATTTTGTTCTATAAGGATTACGTTTCAGTTGACCATCGGAACAGCATTCAAGTAAATTATTTTATTGATTCTGGAGATGGGCTTCATTGGTGAACAATAAAACCAATTAATCCGCAAACATGAGATGAGATAACGGTTTAAACAACGGGGTGCTAGCTGACGTTTTAAGGTAGTTAACATAGACATCAAACAAGAGTGGGCTCATATTGCAACCCTGCTTAACACCAACCGTTGACAAAGTTAATTTTAATAATTAGTTGCACCGGAAGTGCAGTCATTTTGAAAACGGAAGCCAATCTCATCCCATTATTTTGATCCGATTTTCAACATCATTTTATTTTTAGAAACCCTTGACGCTTTGCAATCGATAATTTTGATATTTGACCTACATTTTTAAGAATTCGACATATGAAAACTGGGTTTTCTTTTCTTTTTTTTTATAAATTGTGATGACAAAAGATTCTATAGGTCATTTGGTGGTCATTCTAGATTTATTAAAATCGGGTTGTAAACAAAGGTTCTTTGCAACTTTTAAATAATTGAAATGTGAGAGAGTATGGAACAGTACCTTTAATATCAGACACTAGTTGACATAGGCCAAAGTAAATAATATCTGTATTTAGGGTTACTTGGCCACAAAAAAACCCAAAAAACCCGGGGTTGGTCGGTTTTTAAGCAATACATTAAAGGTGCTGTGTATTCTGTGTGATTCTGTGAGCCCTAGTTTATCATTAGATTTTATACTATACATTGATTGTATAATATTTTACCGTTTTTATTTTTTAAAGTAATTTATAGAAAATTCCCATAGAGACATCAGAAAACATGACTAACATTTTTATTTTCATATCATTGGCAAATTATTGTTTTTATCAATAAATATCAATTATTGTTCTTTTTCTGAATCTTATTATTTTCTCAGTAATCTGAGACTATGTCGATTAATATTGACGTTCAAGAACTTGAGTGATAAATAAAATACTAGAACAATGTTTAATCATTTCGTTTATTATTAAGCCACGTCTGCTAGATTTGTCGTCTTTAAATTCCTCAATATGACTTTTTTTTAAGTATTAACGCCGTAACGAGTTTATTAATACCAAGGTTTATATCTTTAGTTTCTAAATGACATTCGGTATATATTTTGGATCACTGTGGACAGGTAAACTAGAGTCTTTGAGAAAAATGTTGTTCCCATTCCGATTCACGGCTTTTATTTATGAGCTTCTAATATTTATCTGACTGTTGGTTTCTATTAATCTAATGTATTAATTATATCGACAATTTCATTTTTTATATCTCGAAACATAAATTTGGTTATCTCTCTGTAGGCTTTTCGTCTGTTCAAATATATTCTCAATAATTTTGAACTGCCTTTCCGTTTGATAATCCTTATCACACAATTAGTGAATTGAATAGACTGTAGTCCCGAATTAACATACATTGTATATTATCTTTAGGTTATTTGTTTTTAAATGTTTGTTTCTTGCAGATTGACTAAGTCCTGTTGTCACCGCAATTTAAAGACAATGTTGTTCCGCCGAGCTGGTAAACGGTTTTTTGGTGGTTTGGCCTGCTACGCCCTTTTAACGACAGTTATATTAGTATTCTGTTTACTTATTTACCACTCAGATAAAGTTCCACAAAATGTGTTAAACTTCCAAAGACGGGATTTCTTCCAGGCGATACCAAAAATACAGAAACCGACGGACTTGGAACGCTCTAGTTGTAAAGATTTGACGCTTTTGCGGATTCCAGACTCAACTATCGACACCCTCAATAAATCTCTGTTTTGTGACAATGTGGCTGAAAATCGAGATGTGGTGTGTAGGTGGTTCTTTAATCAGATCGGATTAGAAGAAGGAAAATCTTGTGATAGACCCGATGACGGCTACGGCGTTCCTAAAATTGTTTATTATGTAATATTTGGACCATATACTTTCAAATTCTGGCATTATGTGAGCATAATGAGCGCCAAAAAGATGATCAAACCGTGGGGTTTGTATGTAATAGGTGACGCCCATCCGGTTGGCTACTGGTGGAAAAGAGCTATGAATGATGTTAAGGGTTTACGATTTGTGTATAGAGAACAACCACCTACCATAGCTAATAGAACAGTCAGATGGAAACATCATTTATCAGACTTAGTCAGATTACAAATGTTAATGTGTAAGTATCAATTTTATAAAGATGTAATATATTAATCGTTTTTTTCAAATGCGCATCCTTTACGAAGAAAGCAGAGGACTATTAAAATGTGTTCATTCATCTGTCCATCACACATTCCGGGGCACAAAAACTTTGCTTCTAATTGTTCAAACTTAGTGTGGATGTTTATTAGGTGAATGCCTTGGTGGAGCTCGATGATTAACATTCTCCGCTAAGGTTATAAGCAGCGATAAGCAATAGATCGATTCTTTATTTTATATGAGTGAGAGTGGTGAAACTCGGTGTATTTCACTACACCATTTTTTGCTCGATGTTTCACAATAGGATATTATTAATGATGTGTCATTTATTTGCCATAATCTCAATGTAAACAGAAATTCATGATGAATAGAATGGCTTGTAACGAAAAAGAAAAAGCAGCAAAATTATTATTTTCTTATCTAATGTACATAAAGATGGCAGTAAACTATAAATGGCCATAACATTAGTTAGAATTGATCAAATTGAAGAAATAGGCGGGTCAAACTAACATTTGACGTAGAACAAATTGCAACAAAGGGTTTTTTGATTTCTATTGACTCATTATGGTGTCCTAAGTAAGGAAAAGAAAGTTTACCAAAATCGGAGTCCAAATAAGGCCAGGGGGCGTGGCCAAATCCAAGATGGCGATTGTCGATCAAAAATTGCAAATATCTCTAAAGCTATTGGATTTAGACACCATAAATGTATTGCGGACAGATAGGAAGTCGGTATCACCGAGTCCAAAAATTGCGACGTTATGTCTCTATGACGTCATGACGTTGCTGTTACGTCACAACGGCACACCAGACGTCGCATTTCTTCCAAAATTAGTTTATTTACGCATCTTAACAGCAGAAACGAATGCTGATGCAGAGAAGAGTGTGTCCCCATTATGTTGGGTTAGAACGATATGTTACAAGTACGGATTCATTTCAATTTTTGAAGAAATGAAATGAAATGAGGTTATACATCCTATTGTTCTGCTCCCATTTGGATTCCTTAGTGTACTATGACGGGAATTTTGCCCTGCAATGGCGCAACAGCCTTCTCGTATATCGAATTTCATCCGCCAAGAGGTCTTTCACTGGAGAAGTAGTGCATCAAAGGGTGAATGGGTGGGGCTGATCAATTTTGACATTTGGCCCAAAAATCATCAGAAACATTTATATTTTGACACCGGTTTCGTAGATGTAAGAGATGTGTTACAAAACCAACTTTCGCGGTAATGTGAACAGCACCCCCTGGCGGTGTCCCCAAAAGCATTACTTTATATGTGGACAGATAGGAACTCGATACCAGAGAGTCCAAAAAGGTGAAAATTGGTCTGCCCTGTCCATGCAACATTCAATGCACTTCCACAGTACAAGCACAAAATGGGTGTCAAACATTGAGTCGCTGAGCTCCTTAATGTTGCTCCTTCATGGCCTGCGACAGCGAGATCCAGGCCCTGGGACAAGCAACTCGGCGAAAGGCTTTGAAAGACACATAGTCTCTAGCGTCACTTGGTGTATATCTGGGGTAACTGGAGGTCACTTTGCTAAAGCACATTGGTGGGAAAAGGGTCCTCAATTTGCAAAAATGTCAAAAAACCTCCAGATTTTTAGCACCTAATAAAACGAAGACGAAAGTAGAAGTTTCGCTTTCAGTTTCGTTCTTAATGATCGGATACCAGTCAGCCGACCTAGAGCGATCATTCATTCATTGTAGCGTTCTACAGACAAGGACTTGGCCCGAATACCCTGACGATGACGATAGCATCAAACGGAACGAGAACGGGTCGGGGCTCCAGGGCAGTAAGGCTGGGGCAGGTGATTTATAGTTTTAAATTTACCAATTTTTCCAAAAAAGTAGATCTGACAGAATCCGATTCTAATCTTACCCATGGAACTAGTCTGGTTTACGGTCAAGTAACAGTGTGGTTTTTTTTGACTTTATACCAACAAATGTATTTTTAAAAACATTACCATTACGCGGCATACCTCCGGGACCCTGGACAAATGTCACAGTTGCCCCCCCCCCTCTAATGGGCCCTGCTTTATTTCCATTGCAAGGCTTAACCTGGTGTTTGACTACCGGACTAGTACCATTAGCCTGGCTCATCAGGAAAAGTACATCCCAACAGACTTTCAGCTAGATCCCGTGGCAAAACGTAAAATGTCGGGTAGACCAGTTTTCATCTTTTTGAACTCTGTGGTATTGACTTCCTGTCTGTCCAGTGTTCACATATATGGGGCCCCGAAAACGTAACTCTGTAAGTGATGCTTTAGGAACACTGCCAGGGGGCGCTGGTCGCTTACAGCCATTTTTTTTTTTTTTTTTGTAACACATCTCGAATACAACTGTGACAAAATTATGATGATTTTGGGGATTAACCTACTTCTAAGTGGCCCAAATGTCAAAACTGGTCAGCCCCGCCCATTCAACCTTTAATGCACTTCTCCAGTAAAAGAACCCTTTGCAGTTGGAATTCGATATAAGAGTGCCTTTGCGCCCAGTTGGAGCAGAACAGTAGGACGTATATGTATCACCCCATTTCATTTCATTTCTTTTTATTGATGTAGGCTATTTTTGTCGACAATTGAAATGAATCCGTGTTCCTGCGGCTACTATAATAGTATCACCTTTCGACAATGCAGCAATATTCATATACTTTTAGCTTCCTTCTACATTATTGTACTCTTCTCTGAATCAGCATTCGTTTTTACTGTTAACATGCAGAAATGGACTAATTTTGGAAGAAATGCGACGTCTGATATGCCACTGTGACGTCACAGTAACGTCATGACGTCGTAGAGACTTAACGTCGCCATTTTTAGACTCGCTGGTACCGACTTCCTATCTGTCCGCAATACATTTATGGTGTCTAAATCCAATAGTTTTAGAGATATTTGCAATTTTTGATCGACAGCCGCCATCTTGGATTTGGCCACGCCCCCTGTCCTTATTTGGACTCCGATTTTGGTAAACTTTCTTTTCCTTACTTAGGACATCATAATGAATCAATAGAAAACAAAAAACCTTTTGTTGCAATTTGTTCTACGTAAGACATCATTTAGCCGTCGTTTGACCCGCCTAAAATGGGTTTTATTATCTTAACTTTTTTAATATAACGATTTTCGACACTAATTACGCTATAAACCTTTATTCTAACATTTCGAGAATGGAATATAATGTATCTTTCTATTGTTTTACAGTAAATGGTGGTATATACTTAGATACAGATATGGTAGTGGTTAATAGTTTAGATCCGCTCAGAAATCATGATATAACTATGGGTCTTATAGAAAACGGAACCGGAATGGGCAACGCCATCATTCTAGCAAAAAGACATTCGCCATTTATAAAAGAATGGTACGAAAGTTATTTCAACTACAATAAAACTGAATTTTACAAGAACTCGTTGCATGTTCCAAGAGACATGTGGCATAAAAATCCTGGACGGATTCATATGGAATCGGACAAATTTTATCGGCCTAATTGGTTCGAGGCGGACCTTCTTTTTAAGAAAAATGATTATCCATGGAAAAATAACTTCGCTGTACATATTTGGACTAACTCAAACCCTGTTCCCAGAGGTCCGGAAGAACTAAAAACTTTAAATACGACCATTGGTCAAATTTTTAGATATATTCTATATGACGATCCAGCACTACCAAAAATACCGTGATTATTATTTTGATTGTCACTACCCCTTTTACCGCTTTTAACATTGCTAACAGTGAATAACGTGGTATGACATTAATTCAGTATTTACGAGGTCTCTGTGCACTATAGAGGAATCTATTGGTGTCGTGGCTACGATATCAAGCTTATACATGACAGAGGGCATGCTTGCCTTCGTAACCTCGTGGGTTTTCTACAGTAAATTATTGAAATCAAGATGTGTTATTCCTGAATGACCCTGTTTGTGTTGCGTATAGAAACTTGCGTGTAAATAACAATTACTCATGAACATGGTGTATCTTGTAATGTTTAAAGTCGCAATGCGCCAGAAGGTCAAAAACAAATGTTTCTTATATGAATTTAACAAATAATAAAGAAATGTTCTTTAGACGATAATTTAGGTTGGATACTAAATACAATAAATTCAGAAGTGTATATATACTCTTCAAAAAAAGTAGGGGATATTGAAATGCGAATACCTATGCAGGTTGCGATATGATAAATAGTCATGGACATTTGACATGCTTTGAGAGTATGTTCACAGATGAAGAACTTATCGCCCCAACAGAACCACCGAGCTGCACATGCGACACGCAATTTCGCCATACACGTGGGAGGGGTTCATTGTCAAATTTGACACTTCAAGGAAGGGTTGATGAAAACTTCCGCGTGCTAGTTTATCTATCCATGTTTGCTTTCCTATCGGTTCTTGCATAGGATTTACTGTTTAGCGTATCTTTGCTTTAGTGTGTTACGTTTAATTTGATCGGGAGACGTGTTCGTGCTACAACACTGCAAGAATTGGCCGTAGCACGGCAAGAGGAGTGGGTCAAATTGCTCCAAATCGTGATTGGACAGTTGATTAGGAGCATGCCACGACGAATTGCTGAATGTCTGAGGATTGGTGGAGCAATTACTCATTATTAAGACAAAATCAAAAACGTCCATTTTCACTTTTGACGGTGTATCTCTTTGCGAGTGAAATGGGGCCGTCAGATAAGCCGCCCATATGAACTGTTTATGTTCATGTGTATTAACATACACTGGTTACCTCTAATAAAAACAGCAGTGCATTTCCGCAGTTTTGTATTGTTTCTGAATATCCCCTACTTTTTTGAAGAGTATATATAGTTTGTGTTAGTTTCATATGCTTGAAAAAAATAACGAAAGAAATATAACGTGTCTGATGATATTGAAACATTATGGCGAAAATATTAGGAAGAACTTGATTTAATATCCGAATCACAACTTAGTCTTATATCATTTTTCTACCTGAACTGATCAACATCCCCGCGTTCAAATACAAACGTAAGATTTAGCCCCGATCTTCTTACCTCTGTAAAACTGATCGCCATATTTGGAGAAAAAAACGACTTACATGTATATAAGATAAGTATCTCGTAGACATAGAATATACACAACATACGTACAGTATATGACGGAAAACGTATTGGATTCCTTGGTAATGTGGATGTAATATATCATAACACATTTTAAAAGTATTTAGAAAATAAAAATTTATTTGTGAAAATTATCAATTACAAAAAGGGGGCGGAGACATCTTCGAAGAGAATAGATTCTTGACGGAAAAATGATTTTTCCTTTTTTAAAATATAGCTTTCTAGGGATATTTGAGATACATTATAAATGTATGTACTGAGTTTTCGTATCACTCGCTTCACAAGTCAAACATCTTTTCAGTCCTACAGGTGTTAACTCTAGAAACTTGGACTCGAAATGAAAAGAAATGAAATGAAATGGGGTTTAACGTCCCACTTTTTTGCGCATACTTGGCTAATGAAGATGCGAATTTTGTTATAAATCTGCTGCATACGTTAACTGTTGTGATTGGTTTAGCGTTTTCGGAAATTACAAGTTTCCTACATTATATTAGCCTTCAAATACGTTACTATATATAGTTAAGCCAGAAACTCGTTAAGTGGATAATATCATTTTGGAATATAAGGTGTCTCTTTGGCCTTTAGCTGACTCGCTAGCCTGGAGGGCACGGGTTCGCCCCCGGCGTTGGCCGAGAAAGTTCATTGAGATTTTCCAGCGTGGTTTCCCCTTGTCAGTGGTGCAGAACAAGGACAGCTGTTTAGTGGTTCGGACGGGACGAAAAGTCGAGGTCCCGTGTACACATTGTCGTGCACGTAAAAGATCCCTTGGCCTTAGCGCCGCTGTCTGACCAGGCACAATTTCCCTCATAGCACACTGTATGGCGTATGCCCGTCTTCATTAGCCTATGGTTGGAGAAGAACAGTAGGATGTTTAACCCCATTTCTATTTTTTTCATTTTCATTTTCCTTTGGCCGCGCACCAACTACGATATTAAGATGTATAAAGGATTGGATATGGTGTAGGGACCGGGTAGCAATGTCACTATGGGAGGCTTATAGATTATTTGGTACAACAAAAACGGTCTAGTTTCATTTATAGGGTGGGTTATTATCTTTGAAAACGTGCCAACACCGATGCAAATTTGTTGGAAACGGGCTCAGCATCACTATCAGTATCCTCTTCATCTGATTCTATGTCTAAACTTTCTCTTTGGGGTTGAAGTTTATTTGTGTCAATACCATTGGTGTCGTCTGTATCCATGACGTCATCAGAAGGTTCATTTGTTTCCACCGAATCCTGACTGCAGTCATACACATGAATTTTAGGAACGTGGGGTTTTCGTGTCTTTTCTGATCGTACTATGTTACTTTTCATTTGAATATTGACATCATTTTGTGGATTCTGTCGGTTCCGTTTGGCAATTTCATTGATATAACTAATCTTCGGTTTTTGACTGACTTTTGGCGCGACTTTCGGTGGCTTACGCACGGGTCTTGGCTCTTCCTCAGACGAAGATTGATTTAAACTGTCGTCTGAACTGTTCGTAACCCTAGAAGCAGACTTTATTTTAGTTTTGTTAGATTCTATCGATTTCAGGCGATTAGCGTTCAGATACGCCAAAACTGTTTCCTCTTTGCTCTGTGATTGCCTCTCAGGTCGTGGGAATTTATGAGCCAAATTATCAGTCAATATTTTACTGATTTTTCTTTCCCTGAAAAATACACAAATTCAAGCAATCGTTAATTAAAAAATAAAATTAACACGATATGCATCCGATAGACTACTCTGGCTGCATTAGCCGACTTTGTCGTTATACACGAAAGCCACGGTGGCTTTGTAGGTAAGACGCTTGCTCGATAACTGGGTCTCGAGTTCCCTCCCGGTGATGACCGAGTAAATTCCTAGGGATTTTCCGGCGTGGTTTCCCCTTGTCATTGGTCCAGGATGGAGGGACTGGCCAGGAACAGCGCCCTGTTCGAATCGGAGGCAAGTCCAAGCCCCGTGTACACATCGGTGGGAACGTAAAAGGACCGAAGGTGGAATTCGAAATTATAATTAAATATATCGTTGTGGCTCTAATTGTTCAGATTAGTAAGTTTGTAGCAAACATATGAATGGTGCGACTGAAATTGCATTCAAATAACTCTGATGGTACCACAAAGTCGGCAAACGAAATCAACCAAACTAATGTTCTAACTACCTTGATACTGTGAAGATTTGATCGACGTGGAATAATATTACAATGTGGTATGTTTAGCGATTTACCTTTCTTTATTAGCATTGCTGGTACCTTTAACCGATCTTTTGCCATGGACGACAGCCACTGGTATAGTATTATCAGTCCCTGTGGATATCTTCCTTTGTGATTCAGTCGATTCCTTCCGGTTAGCTGATGTCATCATTTGCGCTAATCGAGCTGCCGCCATAACATTCGAGGCTATATTAAAAAAATAAAGGTCAAATACAAATGATCCACGTTGAAAGCAACGTTAATCATGGCAACGTTAATCCTACGCTTGTCTTCTGATGACACATACGCAAAAGCAGATATTTGTCCAAAATGCCCCCCCCCCCCTTAACCCCAACAGGTTGTGTAGTCCGACTGATAAATATGAACAGTGAGGGATCCAATGCACAATTTCACTCAATTGGTAATCACAGAAACTACCGAGGAATACCGAGTGAGGCATATTGATGATCAATTACATCGAATGTCACCGGTAGTAATTCAGTCAAACTACCTAAAAGGTAAAAAAATATATAGGAAATAGAAGGAAATTGGGCTAACGAAGACGGGCATACGTCATGCAGTTTGCTGTGACTATGAGGGAAATTTTAACCCGGGCCGCGGCGCTACGACCTACTCTTATTTCGAATTCTAACAGTCAAGTGATCTTTTACGTGTTCACCAACGTGTACATGGGACCTTGTTTTTCGTCCTATCTGGACACTTTTCCTTGTCAGACTCGCCGTCCTACACCACATAGGGCACTAAAGGGATCGAACCCTGGACCTCCAGGTTAGCGAGTCAGTGCCTTACGCACTGAGCCACCCTGCTACCATAGGATGAGTTTTATCTTAAAATCTATAAAATCGTCCTGTTTACTTGCGAATATAATACTAGAATACTTGCGAACTACAAAAAAATTATAAAACTAACCGTCATATACTTAAACACATGAAAAGAGATTCCAAACATATATATACCATGTTTGAACATGTAAGGAGAATGTTTAAATGGTAATTGGAAATTAATTTTTGTGTGACTCACCAGCACTGTTTAAACGTTTTTTCTCTATAGGCTTTTTTAAGGACATAACAGCACTTCCATTCTTATCACCAGACTCTAGGTCACGTTTAGCTTGAAATATGGAAATAGAATTTTAAAAAAGAAAAAAACAATTAATATGTTATTTGTCCATTACACGTGACAAGACGTAATCATCTACATTCATTCGATCAAAAAGGGAACCAAAATTATAGCTTGAACGTCGATTAATGAGTACCGTAACGTAACTTCCATGGAATTTGTCCAGATTATTCTGTATTAAGGTATTTCCAGATTTAAAATTTATTCACAAATAATCTAGTTTTAGAAACTGTGTCTGTTTTTGAAAAGTGAATTAGTAATCGCAAAGAACTCCATTTTAACTAAAATTGTTCAAAACGTGGTTTTGCAAGCAAGGAGGACAACTAGTATTTGATCCAAGGCAAAATAGCGGTATGTAGCTTTCCATGTACGCCGGGGTTGGATGGCCGAATGGTTAGCGCAGGTGCACTGTATCATAAGGTCTGTCATTGAGTCAACTGGTGTGGTTTTGATTCCCCGGTTGTACGTGACAAGGAGTAGGGTCGCCTGTCCAACCTGGTGGGTTTTCTCCGGGTCCTCCGGTTTCCTCCCACTGCTAAAGACTCCTACGCGCAAGCGAATTAATGAAATAAAATTCAACCATATGTTAGTCCCGAAATGACCTGGTTTGTGTCGAGTGGGCGTTAAACCCCATTTCTCTCTCCCTCTCTATGTACGCGTTTCCGCCAGCAGAAAAAGTCGGTCTTTTGCAAGTGTAAATGCTTGATGGGCTAGTTTTCCGCACATGCGTGCCCAAACGGGTATTTACTTTCTGGCATACAAACACGGATTCTCCTCTCCTAATAGTAGGTTCAAAGTAAGTGAAACAACCACTAGCGGAAACATTTCTTGGAACTTTTGAACATTCCGATGGTCTTAAAGTTGCAATTTCATATTTTTAAGTTATATTTTTAAAATTTATTAAAATAAAGCCTTAAAATAGATGGTATCTATTAACAGTCCTACCTTGTTAAAGAATAATTCTATTAATCCTATAATTCACTATTGCCAGTTGAGAAATTGGCAAAAATATCATTTTCCTCTTCAAATTCAAACGTTTGAAAAAAGCTACTCCATGGTGGAGAATAGAAAACAAGGGAGGTAATTGGGAGGTAATTGGGTTATTATATCCGGTGTAAATGAGTTTTAAGTGTGAGAATGACACCTATGATCGTATAATAGTGAGTTGACAACCTATTGAGCAAAAGACATAGAAATAATTATGTTTTGACTTTCTTAGAAAATATGAAATTGTAACTTTAATCTTTATTACCACAAAGAGCCCCTCACAACCATCTGATAAAAATATTGAAAGGGGCTGACAGTTTCGATTTTATTCTAGGATTTTATACTATAGACCGTGACGTCTTTTTCGTAGGTGATTTTCCTAATTCCTGTCTGTTTATTTCCTGACCCTTCCGCCTTAAAAAAAACGTGTATATGTAGTCCTATTTAATAATAATTATAGCTTACCGTCCGCCATTGCATACACCTTTCTTCTTCCTTCTGTCCTTTCCTGAAATATGTAGAAATGGGATTTGTATTCAAAAATTTCAGTGGTTTGCAATTCTTGGGACAGGGGAGATAACTCTATTAACAGCAAATACCGTTGCAGTACAAGTAATGGAATTAAACAGTGATTCTGAGATTTATGGTTAAAGTCATTTACTGTATAGGTACGTGTTAATGCCGGACAGAAATAGAGCCCGAAACCGCGTTTTCGCCTACTTTTCTTCCAAATCATATTGTCA